ATAATATTATGTGTAATGCGCTTGCAAATAAACTTTAATTCGTCGGTGCTTAGTTCACAACCCGACATTCTGCAAGTCTCTACAATAGTTTGCTTTGCTCTTCATCTACCTTTTCCAAGCTGTCTTTTTTCCCCCTTTCTTTTCATGTTAGATCTATTGTTATTGTCACTGAATGTGAGTTGATCTTGCGTCTTGCGCGCTATCACAACTGTGTGCGTGCTCAAGCGTGTTCTCTCATGCAAAAGTGAGTAAATTTCCGGCGTTTGTGTAAATTTGTTCATCTCTCTCTTTCTCTCATGACCCCTCCCCATCTCTCTCTCTCTCTAACACACACACACACACACAAACACACATACTCACACTTTGTCTTCCCCCCCTCCTCTCTCTCTCCCGCTCCTTTTTACTTTCTTACTCTTTCTTTTTTTTCTTTCTCACTTCCTTTCTGTCTGTTTCTCTCTCTCTCTCTCTCTCTCTGTCTCTCTCTTTTACACACACACACACACTCTCTCTCTCTTTTCTCTCTCTCTCTCTCTCTTTCCCGCTCTCTTTCCCCTCTCTCTCTCTCTCTCTCTCTCTCTCTCTCTCTCTCTCCATATCTCTTTCTCTCTCTCTCTTTCTCTCTCTCTCTCTCTCTTTCTTTCTCTCCCTCCCTCTCTTTGATTTCTTTTATTGACACATAACAAACAACGTGGGTGCAGGCAGACGTGAGCAAATTTAAATTTTGGTTCACCCACGGCCACTAGATTATACTAGATACCTCACAATCGTATTCAGACATTTTAAACATTCTCCTAGTAATAACTCCTACGCCAAGCGCTATTGGGGCGTACGGTCCCCTAACATCAGCCTAAAAGAAATAGTCTAAAGTGCTACTTTGAAACCTACCATTTATTGGACAGAGTAAACAGCAAAAAACTGTCAGTTAAAAGAAATCTACGACCCAATTAATTAAAAGATTAATATGTTTCCAAATGATACATTCATTATTGTATGAGTTGCATGCCCCTTTTCATACAATTTAGATCAATAAGATTAAGAAGGCAGACTGCGGCTTTGACTCTGCCTGCAAATGTCAGGGCCAACCTCTGCTGATTGGGGGATGCAACATCCCAGAAGACAGACGGATGATCTCGTCTTTTGCATGGATTGGCAAAAAGCGAAACCACTACACCACAGAAACTTGCTCCATATATTTTGTTACTACAGTAGTCTCCGCCTAAGATCCCGGTGCTCGGGAGCAAGGAAATGCGGGATCTTAGGCGAACCGGGACCTTAACCGACGAACCCAGGGAAGAATATATGGTCACCCATGCTAAGGCTTAAAATCGGTAAAATGGTCTCCCTCCACTCTAAAATGAACTGACGTGACCGCTTGGTGGGTTTATGGCATATGGCGAGCAAAGAGTGGTTAACCTTGATGACCTATCACAGTGCATAGTGAGATGAGGCGTGCCATTTTCACTTATTATCATATCATGAGTCTCAAGGTCTACGCTTATCCAGTTGCCCCTCCCCCTTACCTGTCGAAAATTTATAGCTTTCCATCTCTGACCGAGTTCCCCACCCTCCCCACCCCCACCCCAACCGCCTTTGTCCTTACACACAATTACGTTGTGAACACACAAATTAAAATTTAGTCTGTCTCGCAAATTCGGGAGTAGAGACAACTTCTGCAATGGTCAGGGAAGAGCTCACAGTTCGATGTGATCCCGCCTGGAGCGTACGTGTAGGCCCTACCCGCCCAGCGAGTGATGTAAGTTTAGAGGGAGAGCTCAGGTGTGAGTGCGATGTTTAGGGAAAACAAACGTGTCAGTCAGTTCACACTCCGGTGTGATCCCGTCTGGGGCAAACATTGTATCGCTTCATCGAGTTTTACAACATGTATGTGATCACATTCACGATAGTGGCTGATCTTTGACGCGACGGACAGTTTATTGATTTCAACTTTTCACTATTGGTTGATCGGCTGCCCCCCCCCCCCCCCCCCAGGTTTTTGTTCCGCAAATTATGATCTGAAAAGCGGGATCTTAGCCGAATGTAGACCTTCAGAGTGAATCAGAATCAGAGCAGGATCTTAGGGGTGACTTTTGTATAGTCTAGTAAAAATTGTTTTCTTAAAAGTAAAACAGCGGGATCTTAAGCAAACCGGGATCATAAGCGGTGGGATCTTAGGCGGAGACTTCTGTATAATGCACATATCAATCAGTGACAAGAAAGAAAAAAAAACAATAAAAAAACCCCAAAATGTCAAAGTTGGTGGAGCTGAAAATGTCTCCAAGCAAGCTCATAAACTGTGTTTTATTTCTTAAACATCATTGAAAGTTTGCTCCATCATTCATACAGGATGTCCCCATCATATAAAACATAAACTTCAATGATAAGATGAAGCTACATTGGCTACAAGTGAAAGCTAAAAATAGATTTTAAAATTGCTCTATGTCACAAAGGCATGTTCAGCAAAGCACAGCAATATCTAAATGACCTTATTGAGTCATACATATCATCGAGACATTTGAGATCTGAAGATGAAAAATATCATAAAAGGTCAAAAGTGCCCACAGTAAGGTCTATCTAACAAGTTGGGTGGGTTGGCTGTTCCTTCCCAAATTCCTAAAACATGGAATTCCCTCTCAAAGATGAGTATTATATCATGACAGAGTTTAAGGAACGAAGAGATTTATTCAACACCGTTCTCTGCCAGTAGTTTTAGTATGTGAGAGTGTGTGCTGGTCTAAGAATTGTGTGCGTGTGTGTGTGTGTGTGTGTGTGGGTGTGTGAGTGAGTGAGTGAGTGAGTGAGTGAGTGTGTGTGTGTGTGTGTGTGTGTGTGTGTGAGAGTGAGTGTGTGTGTGTGTGTGTGTGTGTGTGTGTGTGTGTGTGTGAGAGAGAGTGCGCGTGTGTGTGCGTTTAAATGGTCGCAAAATGTGCATTTTCTGTCTTTTGATTTTCAGGTGAGTGATAATTTTGCACTGTACAGCGATTACAGCGTTTTAGATATTAGGCACTCTATAAATTCCCATTATTATTATCATTATTATTATTATTATCATCATCATTATCATTATCATTAGTATCCTTATCATTTATAAGTGAACAGTGTGTCCCCATCATTTACATGTTGCTCTCCACCACATTTAAGGCAAGCCCTAATAGATTTTAGCATTTTTGCTGTTCATGACAAGAGTATCTTGAAACATGACTACAGTGACATTGAAGGGTCATATATAAAGAACTTTTTTAATTTTCGCCAAAAAAGTTGTCACGATTTTATGAGCATCTTGAATTTTTTTATGATTTCACGTTTTCTCATTTCTAAAAACAAACTGTTCAAGATAGAGCCCTCAGATTTGCAGTGTACATACTTAACAAACTGGCATGTGTCATAATGAAAAGAAAACATGATATCTAAGACTATTTTATGGGTACTTTGAAAAAAAACAACAACATATTTACATTAGTTCAAATGCACCCTACTAACACAGCCAAGAATTTTGTCAAATTATTCAAAGACAATATATGCCCAAATTTCTTCATAAATGTCATTTAAACACCATTTCTACACATCTTTGCAAAATATCACATAAATATCTTCGAAAACAACTTAACCTTCTATCCAAAGTAACATATGGCTGCTACAATGTTTTATAACCCAAAACTAACAACATATGCCTTTTTCTGATCCTAGGTTACAAAAACAGAAAATGTATATTTTTATGGTGTCTTCTAAGCTTTGGAAACAAGTGGAACATGCAGTATAATGGTCTAACATTATTCCAAGCCTAAAATCTGGAAATCAATTTTTCAAGCCAAAAACACCAAAAAAATCATGTTAGTGTTAGTGCTCGCCTACACAACATCAATTACAACATGCCGACAGAGATACTTGATGAAATACTTTCCAAATCAGGAATCAAACTGACATATTCTGCATGCTATGGCAAACAGCCTAACTGTTAAACCACAGAGGCTGGTGAGTATGTTGTAGTGTCAATAAGTCAACAAAGGCACTTGGAGCATCTGACATTTTCCAGCATGATCTAGAAAACAAGAAACTTCATCACTGATACCAATCGGAATACATCTTCAAATTTTCTAGCAGAAAAGGAGCATCACTGAAGCCGTCTTAACATCTTCGTGCATGATTAAACAAACACATAATATAGGCCTACATACAAATAATTGCATGCTCAACATTTTATTTTATTAGAAACACTTTAAATATTAAAAAAAGATTCAGTTCACAATGGTTATGTCTACTCATTTCATTGAAAAAATGACAAGAGCTGCCGGAATAAAATATTTCACACACACACACACACAGGCACATACACATTCTACATGCTTGCTCACACAGACACACACACACACACACACACACATACACACTCATATAATATACACAATCTTTTAGGTATTGACTTTAAAACACCCAAACAAAACATTTCCTTCATAGCAGCAGAAGACACGTCTATAAAAAAATTGTATCAGGTTCCTTGTTGGCGAGAACTGTTGGTTCTATTGAATCGTAAAGCTTGTTTACACATCTCAGTCTATCGTCCAATTCTCTAACGATTGGTGGCACTCCTTCTCCTTGCCTCAGAGAAGCTGCCATGCATGTCTCTTTATCATGATAGTCGTTTGCTTACATTCTGTGTACTGTTACTTATCAAAAAATAAAGAAAGAAAAAGAGGCTTTAAGTTTAAGTTTGGACAAAAGGATGGCTTTTAAAGCGAAATATATGTGAGGTATGCTGACAAAATGAGTAGCTTCTCGCAATCCACAAAAGGAGATATTGGCCAAAAATTGAACCTAAGGTCAAATTTGTAGATTTTTCTATTGATGCCATAATTTTTTTAAAGCATAACAAGCCTTTAACTATTTCATACTTATAATGTAAAAACTTTACCTGTAAGCGTGACGTATCTATTTCCATGGGGCTCAAATCCGAGAAATAACTCATTTTGTCAGTACGCTTCACATGCCTTTATTCATCAGTTTTATGCAGTTCTGGCTTGAATGTTTTTCAGAGATTATTTAAGCCCAGATTTTTTTTTTTTAATGACAAAAGTCTTTGGTTGCATCTTGATTGATTAAACTGTTTGCAAAATGACACAAGTTATTTGTACAGCCTTTCTATTAATTTGCGACTATAGTCTTTGGTCTTTCACAGACATTAATGGGGTCTGTACATCTCGATAAAGAAAAGAACAGAGTCATTTGACTGAGTCGTCATACTGTTCAGTGACCAGGCAGCATTAAGGCAGAATCTTTCATGTCAGACACTTGACTCACCCAGCCCTAACATCGATAATATTGGTATGCTTGCGCAATGCTCCAACCTCAATGCCGACAGTATGGAAAATTTCGCTTTCGTGACCGAAAACACTACTTTTGTGCATGCTATGTTTAATTCTATGTGGCGGCACATTTCAAAGGGATTCGGCATCCCAGTCCATCTCTCCCAAATCTAACCCACATCACACGAAAAAATCTGGCATCATTTGATTTCACGATCTGATCTTCAGTCCATCGTCTGATCCTTCAATTTTTTATACAATTTTGCGGTTACACAAGTTACACGTAATAATTTGTTGTATGAAAGACAGGCTGTCCAATATTTGTACAATTCATTGTTATGTGTAACCGGGCCTTATGACACACTTCAGAGCTCTCGTCTTTCCTTCTCCGCTTTCCCTAAATAAGATACACACACCCAGACAGCAGTAGGAAATAAGTGACTGCCTCTTCTCCTCCTCCCCTTTGAGACACACTTCAGAGTTCTGGTCTCTCCTCCTCCTCCCTTTTGATAAACATTATATCAGATCAGAGCTCCTGCCTCCTCTCCTCCTCCTCCTCTTCCTCCTCTGTGTTATTATTGCCCCAGTATTTAGTAAAAGCCGACACAAGACCCAGCACTAGGGCTCCTGCCATACCTACAGCAACCCCAGTCACCACAGTGTCAACCTGAGGGAACGGAGAAAGAGAACAGTCATCAATGAGAGTCACAGTAATCATCATACACTGACATAATAACTGTCGTACATTATTGACACAATAACTGTCCTACATGGACACAATATCTGTCGAACATTGACACAATAACTGCCATACATTGACACAATAACTCTCATACACCGACACAGTAGCAATCATACATTGACACAACAACTTTTGTAGATCCACAAAAAAACTGTCATACATGGACACAATAATCGCCATACATTGACACAATAACTCCCATACACCGACACAGTGGCAATCATACATTGACACAACAACTCTTGGTAAATCCACACAGCAACAGACATCTAGTGCAGGAAAATAGTAAAACATACTACTGACCACAAAACAATAGCTGCCATTCAGTGCAGAGAAAGAGAGTCAGACAGACAGAGAAGCACAAGAGTGGGAAAGAAAAGAAATAAGACTTACAACAAGCACCCTCAATAAACCCACCAATACCGTTGGCTGTACCGGGTATTGTAAAAAAATCCAGCTTTATATTTTTGAGTTGATTAACGTTTTGAATATATGCACACATCTAACCCCACAGCTCTTAATTTGGAGCATTTTTACACAGCCTCATGACTATAACTTTTGTGAACATAAAAAAAAAATAACGACAGAGACTGTTGGATTGTAAAAGGTTTTCCAAGTAGGCCCATCGAAACCTCATAATTGGGCAAGTTACGCTGAAAAAACCCCCCAATGGCTTCCATGAGAGAAGCCGAAGGTACAACACAAGTATCTGCTGAGATTCCAAGAAGTACTGGAAAAAGCTAAGATAAATGTCATTGCTTCAAATCTTACAAGAAACAAATAATCAATCTGATGTACAGAGAGTGGCGATAAGTCATTTCACAGAGTGGGTCACCGAGTGAAGTGGACAGTTCAAAGTTCAAACAACACAGTCCAGCAAAAATAAAATTTCAATCCGCCAACTGCAAGTGACTGAATACATGTGAACATGCCTGGTGGAAGGTACCAAAAGACGCATTTGTTTGAACCGAGATATCAGGCTTCAAAGGTCGAGAATAGAATTTTTGACAAAAACTAAATTCCATTAAAACTGGATTCTTTAGACATTAATTGATTAATATATATCAATATTTACAAGGATTTGAGTTTCTTTTACTTTAAAATAAATTTTTAAAGATGTTTTTTAAAACAAGGTATATAATCCCCCAAAAATGCGTGAGAAAACTGGTTTTCCCAGTAAACACTGCAGATGGTTTCTCTTGTCCATTCATAAAGTCGACCCAATCACAACGCATACCAAAATTGAGGTAATTTTCTCCCTTCTCTAATGGTGGGTAATGCGCATGAATGTCTAGAACATGTAAACAAATCGAAGCTTTGCGCATCCACACCCTTTCATTTCTTTGGAGAAAACTTTAAGGCCTATTGCCTATTTCTGTCCTGTGCAAACCTAGATCTATTTCTTGAAAATTCTTGTTCAAGGTGGTGGTGAATTTGTTTTGAAGTCGTAATATAAACACTTTGAAGGTGTTCTTTTATCTTAGCTGCTTTTTAAAGTTGGTTTGTGAGTAAGGAATATGTTGTCAGGTCGCCTCGAAGTATAGATCAATCTATTTGAAGCAGAAACAAAGGGGAAACTTTAACTCATTCACTGCCAGGCATTTCTCGGCAGGGTAACTAAGGAATGCCAGGCTTTCGGGACCTTTTTCAAAACCTCACTGTGAGCTATTATTTTGTGTACAGCACTGAACTTTTCCACAAAACAATGACATTGAAACATACTCAACAAATCAAAAATAAATTTTGTGATACCTTTTTCGTGTGAAATTTTATGAGTTTGTGAATATGTGGCAAAATCGAGGAAAAAAACTTTTACATAACATTTAGGTGCTCGGTACATTCAGTCGATATGCATGCCTTTATATCTTTGTCCCTGCAAGAAATAGATGTTGTATCAATTGACAAATGTTGAAGAGTCACTATGAAAAAATATCAGACAAATTTTGTATAAACTGGAATATCATATCATTCAAGTCATCAGTCCACCCATCCTGAGCATCAACATCACGGTGTGTGGTTGCAGGACGGGGCATGGCCACTGGGGGAGGGGTGCCACTATTTGAAGTTTGTTGTGTAGACCTAGGACTAGGAGGGTCTAAGTCAGCTGTATTCCTATCATTTGAGGTCTAAATCTACGTTGTGTGATCTTTGACGTTTGCGTGACGGCCTGAACTGGGACCGGGAAGCGTCGGATCATTGGTCTGAGCATGGGGAACACCCGATTCTAGATCTATCACAATTTTCATCTTCACTTGTGTCCGCACCTCTACTATTTCCTTTCCTATACTCATTATCAACTCTGTATGATGGTTCATCATCACTTTCATCTACTAAAAGATCTAAATCTGACCCTTTATTGACGAATGGGTCCATTAATTCAAATGTTCTGACCTCGTTCAGACGCCGTCACCATCGTAACTGAGCGTCAGTAGTTTTTAGTACGTTTCGGGTGAGTTCGAAAAAGTCCGATTTTTAACTCATTCGCTACGCCGAGCCGTGAGGGGCGGCGCGGCTCAAGTGCCGTCAGTACGCTAAGCCGCCTCCGGCGGCTCGAGAACCGACGTTCAATTTTAGCTTGGTTTCTATTCCAATCCACATCCATGTTAAAATGAAGGTCATAATATAATGTTGACTTCCGGGTCAAGCGTTTCCACCGAAAATCAGAAGTTTTGAGTCAGTTTTGAAACACGATTTTGAAGTTTATGCGACATTGTTTTATCGCGAAGCCCAAATTATAGCCCAGACATCAGTCTTAGTACTTTTACACAACAAAATGTATCATTATTTTGCTCACTAAAGAAATGTAGGACTCTTCTTTATAATATATTGATACTATTGGACGCAAATTGCCGGTGCACTGTAATTGAGAAATCAATATTTTTGAGTGCTAGATCTACGCCTAGATCTAAATAGTCAAAATATTTTTTTCTCCCCAAAATCACTACTTTTGGGTGAAATTAATCAAAAAGTACCACTCAAGACATGTATAGGTTTATTCCAAATGCAATTCTGAATAATTCCGTATAAGATACGCGTATTTTTTTCTGTTTGTGATCCTGTTTTCAAAATTATTTTTTTTCAATATCGGATGATATGATCCAAATGTACAAATACTATGGAATGTATGTAAATAACTGCACATTTTTCAATATTTTCCTGTTCTATATACAGTTATGGTTATTTTGAAGTATTATTTGACTAGGTGCAAACATATTTTTTATGTTTCACCTGAGATTATAAATTTTTAAATTTTATTTTCCAATTTTATCCGCATCCAATTACAATTGTGTTGCATAATCGCCTCTTACAGGAACCAAAGTTGAAAAATACGCAAATAAATAATGCAGATGTATTCTACAAATCATACTGAAAATGTTGGTATATAATATGTTGATATTTATTTGAATTTATGGCCCCAAAGACCTGTGAACTGTGCACCAGTCATCATCTCATTTCGCCCTCCCGAAAAGAATTCGTCCACAAGCCGAAAATAATACGTAGCGAATGAGTTAAGCAACTTATTCAAGGGAAGTTACTGCAACAATGCGGAATCGAAACTAAACCGGCTTATGTCGCCTACTTCCGACTGCTAAGACGGAAACACGTAGGGGAATGTTTGAAAAATGGTAGTAAAAACGCACCCGAGAGGTTTCGGGTTTGGCAGGCAGCGGTCTATGCAGTTCACCTGACAGGGTTCATGCATGGCAGTGAGTGAGTTCAAGCCTTTTTTCTCAAAACTTTGTTTCTATACCTTGCCTTACAAAATCACCCATATTTCAAAAACTACTGAAAATATCTTTAAAATTCAAAAAGCACATTGTTCAGAAATGATCTCTGTACATGAAAATACAAAAAGAAACGGGATTCTTCAAAATGCCTCATTTGTTACCTTTCACCAGGCACACACACACATGAAGAAGTGGAAATTCTGAAGAACTTACCTGGTCACTTTTTGCTTTGCCATAGCGGCACCACTTGGCAAAATGCTCGCAGTTCTCATATAGCAAACTGTAGCCCTTCTTGCCAACTTTCTCAAGAGCATTTTTGACCACCTGGTGGGGAGGGAAGGGGCTGAAAGAGATAGGACAATAGAACACTAATACAGCTTTTTATAACACCAGTATAGCTTTACAGAACATCAGTATAGCTAAATAGATGACTAGTATAGCTCTATACAACACCAGTATAGCTTTATAAAACACCAGTATAGATCTATACAACACAAATCTCACCTCCTTTAACTAGCTTTATAATCTCACCTTCATGTACTAGCTATATCTCACCTCCATGAATACATCTCACCTCACGAACTAGCTACATCTCACCTCCATATATATATATATATATATATATATATATATATATATATAAATATATATATTATATGGGCAATTCTCCTGAAAACTTGAACTTGCGCATACCCCTTACTGCAAACGCCATAAATATCTCTCTTTATTTCAAATTATTGTTAAGATGAGCTAAGCCTGTGGGGAAAAGGTTGCCGAACCTGGACTAGGCAGAAAATATCCAATGAAATGATATGCTGAAACAGTATGGGTTTTTTTGTTGAAAAATCAGCATTTTTTAGGTATGAAAACGTAACATTCACCAGAGACAGTTTTCATCCGAAGATTTATCTAAGAACTGCCTGCTTATCATTTTCGTAATTATGTGTAAATACTGATCTTTAAGTAGAACTTTCAGGGTAACCGACAAATATATGCTTAATACGGCCCATTTGTTCACACAAAAGACATAAAATTAGGTCATAAACGCTATTCGTCTCGTCCGAAAAATGATAAAAAGTAGTAACCCTATCTTGAGTTCAATCGATCGTTTAAAAAGTGTAATTGTTTATTGTAGAATTAGAAATGCGATCACTTTCGTCATTTCATCAACCAAGAACAAAATTACTACACCGATTACGAAATTTTGGCGGTAACTAGTAGCGTCTTTGAATTTTTGTCACGTTTTAACGATTAAGATCTGCATGTTTACTTCTGCCGGAAGTAGCTCGAAATTTTAGTGCGGTGTTTTTATGTCAAGTGCACTGGTTTCCAATCAACTAGGCTTTCATCTATTCCCCGGAAAGACAACGGTGTCTATTGAAAGTGAATATGAATGACTTCGTCACGCAATTTCTAGCGGTTAACGATTAAGACGTAAGTAATTATGAAGACTTGAATTGTTTTAAAATTTGCTTTCTTTTTTATACTACTGCAAAATGTGTGATTCATTGATGAAATCTTAAAGCCCCTTAAGGAGTTTGGATCCTGCCAAAACAAGGATTGTTGGTTTCATAGTGTTTGTTGTATCGAAATGGAAATTGGACAAAGAGCTTGATTTCTTCATTTTAACGATTTAGCCTTGGTCTTTGTGTTATAATCTTTGTAAAATGAGTAGCTACTTTAAGAATTTCATTTCAAGGATTTCATGCGTTGATGCCACATATTTCTAGCTTTGGGGATGACAGTTGGGGCAATTAAAGGTGACAACTTGTTATCGTTGTCTGAAACATTGCAAATACAAGGATAAGGCTGCTTGGCTTGGTGTTTCAAATATTTAACATCGAACATCAGTAATTTATCTTTGTAGACAGACTCCGTCAATGGAATGCAAAGTATATTGATATGTCCTATTCTGGGTAATGTCACACTGTAGGCTTGGTGGTGACGAGGCGTAAACACAGTGAACAAGGCGAAGAGGGAGACGCAAGTGATGTAACGTTGTGTGGGATTTTCTATGTCAATTTTAGTTTCAGTTGAAAATGAACCGATAAATATTGGCGCCGTTTCTCCTGATCGACGTGGTAACTCTAAAGAGAAAAGAAAGAAATAAGTAGGTGAACCCGATTACTTAAATGCGTCATAAGTTTTGGTGAATTTCACCTCTTGAAGAGAAATTTGCCAGACGACCAAAGCAGATGTGCAGATTCAGTTTGAATGAGTCGTGATTCCTTTTTCTATCTGCATGAAATGTTAATGGTTAAACTTACCTAACAGACTACTAACTTAAGACATCCCATCTCGACGATTGAGAAAGAAAGAATGAGAGGCAAATGGAAAGAGTGTTAAGTACTTAAGAAGGGAATGTTATGGAGAACTGATGGATAGGTAGATCTTGGTCTACAAATTAATTGAAAAGAGGTCAATTCTATAATGTCTTGCTTTGAATAAAAGTAAATACATTGTGTGTTTTGCTTTTATTTTTCATTTTTGTTTTTACAAACAGTTTTCACAAGCTCTCCTCGTTTTCCTTCTTGTTATAATCACTGAAATTTTGTAGATCTACTAGTGTCAAGCAAGCTGTCAATTATATGCTCGTGTGCACACATGTACATTTCAAGCGATAAAAGCGATTGTACATTGGCCGGAATTTCTCCTGGCATCTCCTCGCTTCGGGCCGTTCTTGGTACGGCTGGTAACGTCCGTCTTTCCCTTTGGTTTTATTTTGATTGCCCCGGCCGTGCTGCTTCGCTTTGTCCACGGTGTAGCTTTACCCTTAGTTTTCACCAGAAATTAATATTGGTTTCAACAAGAGGAAAATAAGTTTTTACATTGGTCTTAATGGTTACACAGGACTAAATCATTTTGACAAAAGTCTTGGTAATAAGGGTTGCCCCAATAATATTTAGGGCATAGTAGCTGAATTTATCGTCTTGGACTATGATAAGACTAGGAGAACCATATAAGTAACGAATAACATCGGTTTATATTCACTTTATTCTTATACATTCTAAAACAGAGTTTGTGACTACTTTTTCTGTTGCGAATCATTTTAATAAAACAATACAAAAAGTAATGCAGCATAATCTTATTTTCGACCAAGTATAGCATGTGTTAATCTCTTTCAATTCCGTTACAAAACTGATTGGTACAATTTTTCATTCACCCCTCCCGCTCCCACATTCTCTTTCTAACTCTGCGCTAGAGACCTCTGAATGCATTGCTTTCAAGTACCGAAATTCCAAAAAAGAAAAACACAAAGTTTATTACAATAAAATTTAAGACTGAGCCAACTAAGGAATCCCAGGACCGATTAAAGAAAACAAAGGGTGACATCGATGTGCAATCGTAAAGAGCTGAAGACGTTCGTCTAGGGAAAGAAGGTTGCAAATCACAAGGCAAAGACCGACGAACAAGTCAAGAAATGTAGGAAAAACAAGAAAGAAAACCTCAAATTGCCTACCACTACCACTAGCAAAGTCGCAACACGTCAGTTTGCTGGGCTAGTGATACTAAAGAAAGAAATAGAAAAGCTACGCAAGAGAGGTAACAACATCCTGGTCAGGGCAAAAATAAAGGGCAGACAATGCTTAGGCTAGAGAAAGGTTCCCTTAAAAAAGAAAAAAAAGGAAAAAGGTGAAGACACAGAGAAAACGAAAAAAGAGGTTCAATATATTCGAGAAAGTGTCAAACAGACACCCTCATCATGCAAACAAGCTGTCCACAGAGTTATGATAGTCTTTTCAAAAGTCAAAGCAGCTCGAAAGCAAACGTTGGAAGATGTACGTCAGAAAACTCTTTATCATGATCAAAACAGCTGCAAAAAGACATATTGGAATTCTTCATCCTTACTGAGTGAAGTTGGACTTTGAAAAGAAGCTAGTAAACATTCCATACACTTGTTTCATGCTCAATGGCAATGTTACGTGTTTTTGAAATCATAAAGAGCTGTTAGGGAAGTAGAGGTCCATACTGTGATGAATTTGCTTCAATCTTCCTGTTCGAGCTACAGACAAGGAACTATTCATCGACAGTGTGCCAAATGGAATGCTACATAACTCACTAAAAATCGTTGCGGTCCCAAATAATCTTCAATATGATCACCATGCCATGGAAACATTTGTGGGAAGTAAACATCATCATAATGTCACGAGAAATCACAGAAAGATAGAACACTGTTTGCTGCCACGATTAACGATGTATTTTGACAATGTTAGTAGAGATAATGAAGGAGATGTGAATACCTTATTTTGATACTCTACTCTGCCACTGCTGCTGCTGCTGCTGCTGCTGCTGCTGCTGCTGCTGCTAATACTACTACTACTACTACTGCTGCTGCTGCTACTGCTACTGCTTTCACTATTGGGAAATTTCATGTTTCACTTTGTAACTGGCTCACGATTTTTGTCCCGAAAATGCGAAGTCTCAATAATATGCTCAATGAGTCAATAAGTTGGTGTCTTTTTCTTCGAAAAACATGAAAGATAACATCAAAGAAGTATTATAATACATGTTTTAATTCTCAGTAGGTGTGCATATTATTTTTAAGAAACAAATCGTCCTTTTTCTGCACACTTCTTTTTTATATTTTGTCCAGTAACGTTTAAGACTACTATATTTAGCTAATGTTGCTTCCGAAAACACTTATCGATTTTGTTCATATTTGCTGAAACTACAGCATTGAATTACCCGTTTTATAGCAATACCCTTTTAAAGTTCTACTTGAATTAGTAGCCTATTTTTGTAAATAAAAGTCTAGTTTTCTATTTGAAAAATGATTTTTGCAAGGTAACGTTAAAGGCATTATGATTGTTTCATAAGCATTTTCTTCTTTAAGAAATGTTTTGAAATTTGTGTGAACAAAGAATGAATTTAAAGGACATAATGCTACCCCAATCAATTTTTCTTTCTCTCTGTTACATTTCATGTTTTGACCGTATTGTTGTGTCCTTTAACGTTTAAGACCATAGCGTACTAGTCTAAACTTCACTTCCGTTTCCAAAGAAACCAAGCAAGCTTTAGCTTCAGCCGTTTAGGGATCAAAACTAGACATGTCAAAGATGTACTGAGTACATTTTCAAGTTATTTGGTTGAATTCTAAAATTTGATACCCGTGTTACGGAAAGTTCAAACTTTCAGGAGAATTGCCCATATATATATATATATAGATCTATATATATAATACAACCCACCTATGCGTATTTGCTCTATCTCACCTCCACATATATATATATATTTTCATCTCCATGTTCTAGCTAGGGGGTGTGCGAGTACTCAACACCACTCATGTACTTGAGTAGTTAGCCCCTGTGAGTACTCGCTCAAGTAGTTGTTAAATACACCAGTACTCACCTGAGTCCAAAACCTCTGAGTGATCAGGTAAATACTCAAGTGCTTACTTTTTTCACCCAGTTGGGGGCTATTTGTAGAAACAAAGATTTTGCAATTTCTATCATTTTTGCATGTTGCTGCATTGTATTTTCTTTGTGCACTATTCAGATTAACTCAGTAATTTTGATATTTTTCTATGCAGTATTTACCATTATTAATATTTCGTTTTCTGATTTTGTATTATCTCCGTTATCGATTATATTGTGAGCAGCACAATTAGCACTTAAAATTTAAAAAGGATTTTAAAAATAAACATTTGGGTAAGCAAAATAAACAAAACCTGGTATTCAAAAAGTAGGCTATATAAACTATTACTTCCGCCAAAAGTATGCATGATTTATTCAGCTAAAATTGATGTAGGTCTGTACCCCTCAACTCTTCCCCATACAAAAGTCAGAGAGAAAGACAAACACAGAGACACAGACACACACAGAGACAGCAAACACACACACACACACACACACACACACACACACACACACACACACACAAAAGATGTTGAAGTCTCTGGGTTACTAACTAGTACAACTGTCTATTTGTTTTCTGCCTGCCTGTCTCTCTCCCTCGGCCTCTTTTGTGAACTCTTACAACAAGCACGTGTACATACTTTTGCAAGTAGAACAGAGGGGAAGAAACATACTTTCGCAAGTAGAACCCAGAGGGGAAGAAACGAGGGGGGGGGGGGGGGGGGGGGGTAAAATTTAGCTAAGCCATAGGCAAATAACACATTAAGCCTGTGCTCAGGACATGGGTACTTAAGTACTCACTTCAGTCATGATTACTCGTAGTGCCAGCTACATCTCACCTCCATTTGTTGTCTCTTGTGTTGTTCTTGTAGGCCGGGTCGGCCCCGACAATCGTCCAAAAGTTGGCCCTGCAGACTTTGGCCTTGTCAAACCTGTGTCCACTCACGGTCAGAACGTGTTGTGCTTGTACGTTAGCGTTGATGCCATCATTGTCTTCTCCCGCCAGATGTATGATATCCTCATTCCCTGCAACATCAGCACAATAGGGATAGGGCTAATAGGGCTACAAGCACATCATAACATTACACAATATTATTACATCCTAGAACACAAAGTTTGCATATAAGGTTCACAGTCACGTAACATAGTACTATAATAAGCCAGCAGCATAGAGATACATTAGGGTGACAGAGATTTATATTGTGGCACAGAGTGAGGAATAGACTTATCTAACACAGACAGCTCACTGAGAATAGATTCACAGAAATAGTCACCCCAATTAGAACAGACTCACCCACATACACACCCCAGTGACAATAGACTCACCCACATAGACACCCCACTGAGAATAAACAAACTCAGACTCCCCCACATAGACTTCCCGGTGAGAATAGATTCACCCGGAGACACGCTGATGAGAACAGACTCACCCACATAGACATCCTATCAATGAGAACAGATTCACCCACATAGACATCCTATCAATGAGAATAGACTCACCCACATAGACATCCTATCAATGAGAACAGACTCACCCACATAGATATCCTATCAATGAGAATAGACTCACCCACATAGACATTCTATCAATGACAATAGACTCACCCACATAGACATCCTATCAATGAGAACAGACTCACCCACATAGACATCCTATCAATGAGAACAGACTCACCCACATAGACATCCTATCAATGAGAATAGACTCACCCACATAGACATTCTATCAATGACAATAGACTCACTCAGACTCGCCCACATAGACATCCTATCAATGAGAATAGACTCACCCACATAGACATCCTATCAATGACAATAGACTCACTCATAAGATCACCCACACAGACATCATATCAATGAGAATAGACTCACCCACATAGACATCCTATCAATGAGAATAGACTCACCCACATAGACATCCTATCAATGACAATAGACTCACCCACATAGACATCCTATCAATGACAATAGACTCACCCACATAGACATCCTATCAATGACAATAGACTCACCCACATAGACATCCTATCAATGAGAACAGACTCACCCACATAGACATCCTATCAATGAGAACAGACTCACCCACATAGACATCCTATCAATGAAAATAAACTCACTCAGACTCACCCACATAGACATCCTATCAATGAGAATAGACTCACCCACATAGACATCCTATCAATGACAATAGACTCACTCATAAGGCTCACCCACATAGACATCCTATCAATGAGAATAGACTCACTCATAAGACTCACCCACAAAGGCTCCCCTGTGAGAATAGATTCACCCAAAGACATCCTGATGAGAACAGACTCACCAACATAGACATCCCATTGAGAAAAGACTCACCCACATAAACTCCCCAGTGAGAATAGACTCCTCTCTTGAACTCGACCAAATCTCCCTGCGACAAACTGCGTAAAACAAATCGATTGTGTTCAAGATTCTTGTGACGCTCGTCTCCTGACGCCATTTTCAATCTCAAAGGCTCACTTTATCTCCTGAGGAAAGGAGGAAAGTTAAATGAGAATTGTTAAGTTGCAGCATATTCGAAGGATATTTTCATCTCCAATTTTCTTTGTTTTGTTTTAGTACAGTGTGGCACATCCACACGATAAGTACAATCCTGGATAACTTTGTTAAGATCAAGGTCATTTCACTCGTGACAATACTTGTTCACCATCCTCAGGAAGCAGTTGGGCTTCGCGAGTATTCTCATCTGTCCATAGTCCTGTGGTGTTCAACACTAGATCTACATTTCTCTGGGAATTTTACTGATAAATTTTGATCTAAGACACACAAAAATGTAAATTAGCTGTTTTCACCAGGTGACCCACACCTCTTCTATTCACAAATAAACATTTCGACTTCTGTTCAAGGTAGATGGGTATTTTTCATCAAAAGCAAGGCAAATAAACAGGCTTTAAGATTATACCATTAATAACTTCATATGCACAAAAATAGAAGAGCGCCTGATCCACTGTGTCATGACACAAAAGGTAAACACAATGTAAAGACAAAAGGTGCCACTCAGTACCTCTTAAATTAGTATTAGCAAAAATTGTTGGCACTCTCCAGTTTTCACCCAAAGAGTAGCCCACTGGAATATCGATACTGACTATCTATACTGACTTAAATACTCGGAATCGATGTTTTATCCGAAAGAGAGCAAGAGATGCGCTAGGCTGCTATTTTTCAGTACAAAATGAGCAGTAATATTTCACTTGTTTTTAACAAGGGGGGTTTCAGGGAGGCATGCTCCCCTGACTTAATAAAAATATGGGGGGGTTTCAGGGGGACATGCCCCCGCGTATTTCACCATGTAATATTTGATGTTTTGTAATTAGCTTTGATATTTTCTCTTGCTTGCCGCCCATCAAACATTGTATCAGCATGCGCAGCAAAAAGTAATTGTTTCGAACCAGAAGTTTAGTAATCGGTGGAGCCAAAACCCATTCGCGAAAGTTATCGTTAGGGCCTAAACCGGATTATCACAAATTGTTTTAGTAGATTTTTAGAGATTTTGCTCGATAAGACAAGACTATACACCAAAAGCCAAAAGTTAAAACAATGGAAAGACCAACTACTAGCAGATGATAAGGGAGGACTTCTGTAACGAGCGACCACTTTTATATGAGACAGAGTAGAATAGACGGCTAGGAGTACGGGTAAGGGTAGGGTTAGGGTTAGGGTTAGGCATTAGATTAGGGTTAGGTCTCTTTTTTATTGTGTTTGTTGGGGTGGTCGCTGGTTATGGAAGTCCTTCCGTTGCTAGGCAGGTGTTCGTGTTGTCAGGCTGAAGTGGAAACACTTCCAATGCCAATATATTAATTAAGGCTACTGCAAAGCCCAATCCAATGCCAATGGTTTCACTTGGACTTGTTTATCTGGCTTAGGGGAATGGGGAAACTCAAACCACACTGAGAATGAAGTCTTCAGAAAAATGGATCCTATTATAGATCTAGGTCTAGCCTATGTCTTTATATATAAAACTAGCTGGGCCCCCTTTCGATGAAAGGAATGATCGGTGCATTAACTTCAACTGAAAGTCATTGGCCTACTACATTTTTATACTCTACTGGAATGGAGCAATAAATCTTGAAAGAAAAGTGACACACGTGTTTCCAAGTTGCCAAATATATAAATATAACAGAATGTATAGACTGATTCTCTATTCTGCTCTCGTGATTGTACACTCCAGAATTTCAAAGGTGTGGAACAGTGCGCACGGACAGTGAGCGGAAACCTCTTGTTTACAATGGCGTCTTGGAAGATGGACTTTCCCAAGATTCTGTGAGGACAAAACAAAGCATTTTGGAAAAATTGGGGGAAACAGTTTGCATGGATTTTTTAAAAGTTAGGTCCTAGCCACATGGATGACGTGGATGCCTGCAAAGTTTCAAAGGTGTGGGTTAGGTAATAAGGGAGGAGTTTGTGCACAAAGCCTCCCAAGTCCACTTTTATATATATAGATGGTCGCTTTTAAGCACAAGGGGGCTATCCTGAAAAACGCTGTTTTGAGAAAAATCGAAGGTAAAGTTTTTGGATCCTTATTCAGTTTCTTTAAAAGACCAGGAGAGTGGCCATTCTCTATAATATAACCCAATAAATATACACACCAATGAAACCAAACTTCTCCTTTAGGTAGGGCAATGCTCACTTTTGGTGTTGGTCAAGATTTCCGGAAACCCCCAAAATCTGGGTTAGCCCACTTGTCCTTAAAAGCGCCCAAATAACACCTTGCAATGATAGATCTAGCCTACAACAGACGATCATTATAATTGAATTACAAATAATGCATGGGAGTGTCTATACGAACGCAATAGCGTGAACCAACACATTTTTTGTTATACCCATGCAACTGTGTGCACCAATACATTTTTTGCTATATGCACGCAATTGCGTGCACCAATACATTTTTTTGCTATAGATATTCCGTGCCGAAGGCCTAATGCCAAAGATTCTCTACTACCAAGATACTGTACTTCCTCTTTGGGCTTTTGTCCATGCTGTGGCGGGCCCACTTTGCCGCTTAGCGCGTGACGGGTTACGACGTCACTATGCGAGGTTGGTTTCATTGCCGACTGCTTGGGGTGTATGAGTGTGTGTGTGTGTGTGTATGTTTGCGTGTGTGTTTGTGTGTGTGGGTACAAATTTGTTTGGGGAGGAAAGGAGGAGGAGCAGAATGGTACAGGCTAAATTTACGGAACGAGAATTGCTGAGACTTTTAAAGATATAACACAAATTAACACACACAAAAAAGAACGAAAGGGAAAAAAGGAAAAACAGTTGGGGGGGGGGGTTATCTTATCAACCTATTATTACCTGGCTCAGGCGGCCAGGCCTGGTCTCGCATTGCCCGATGTCATAAATTTTGAATCGGCCCCTCACGCTGTGGACGGGCCATCATAATCCATTCACCTGTCGTTATTGTTAGTCCCTCCAGTGAATATTTACACAAGTTGGCCAATTGGGTAGACCTAACAATAAATCTTCAACAGCTGGTGAGGGATGCATGATCTGTCATAACATAAAAGCCAAGCCCACACCTCATGCACAAATCGTGCGTAAGGTGACTGGTCACTGTTTTGCTTACCTAATTTGTAACAAAGTAACAATTGGATGTTGACGTGAACTTGCAACAGAAGTATTGCTCGTTCTCCCAGTGGTGGTGACCCGTGTGTTTGTTTTACTATGGCACTCAGTCTTCATCGTCTTACTTACATAACATTTAGTTTATTTTACCCTTGCACAAAATCAGCAACAAAAAGAAAGCTTAAAAAACAACTATCAAAACAACACAAAAAAACGCGTCTTACACCATCCACCCCCCTTTTTCAAAAGAAAGCAAAAACCCTTTTGCATTAGCCTTACGGCAGTCTAAAATCAGAGATCATCCCCGGTTTGGACATCAGAAGAGAATGACTTTCTTTCTTCATTTTGACCAGTCCTGCATTATATGGCCACTTTTCTCCTTGACAATGGGTGGCCGTTTTACACAGGTTTGACTGTACACACAATTGCGTGCGTATAGCAAACTATGATACCTTGCACCCAATTGTGTGCGTATAGCAAAATTTGAATTTCTGTGCACGCAATTGCGTGTGTAAAGACTCAGCTGTAGTAATGCATATATATAGCCTTATATATATTATATATAATATATATATAGCCTCTACAATAACTAACGGCAGCGGCTATTTGGACTCGAGTCTGAATAGCCTCCCATGGCTATTCGGACTCAAACTCCGTGCGCCTACCGGACGTGAAGCTGACAGGCAATTCGACCTTGGACTTCTTCGGTCTCTACGATCTAGCCAAAATTTTCAACACAAATTAAGAAAAGTATTATTGACATCAAAAGTGAACAACAGTTGCAAAATCTGAAACACTACACAACAAAAGCAAACAGGGAAACAGTAATCTGAGCTCAAAGAAGTGAAAAAAATTGAAAATCAAAGTTTCAGAACAACAAAAGGATTATAGATCAATTTAGGTAGTTAAACCCGCTTTATTTGATGAGAAAGACAAAATCACTGATCAATTAAATTGGATGTCCAGTTAGAAATTAAGAAGAGAAAAGTTAAAACCCTTTCAAAGGGAACAAAGGCCCGTCGTTCAAAGTAGGTAACGCCCATGTAGTTTTGAGTCCAAATAGCCACGGGAGCAGGGGCGGCTCGTGGGTCTAAAAAGCGGGCGTCCACAATTAAGCTCTATCTTAGGTTGAAGATAGTCAAGGGCAGAGTAAATGAGACGGCGTATAATTTTAGGATCTTTGGGTTGGTGAGGGAGAACCTTGTGATTCTATTTTCATTCTTTTTACTTGTGGCTTTGACTTCTAGAACTAAATCTGTTTGTTAGCTAAACGTCAATTTCATTCATCCTGCTTTAGAAATGAACACTCAAGTAATACCTTTCACCACTCCACTACAAAACCGTTCAAAAGCACAACTCATAGGACGATGACTTAAGTATGTCACGTTCACCTCCCTCAGGTTCATGGTCACAGAGTCACTTAAAATAGCGGCAAGACAATGAACCAATCACAATTCATTTGAGCTCTCCGCTGGATTGCTCCGGGGCTGACATAATTTTGGCATAGAATGATAAGAATGTTGCACAGTCTATCGCGTTTATTTTTAGATTGCCTACTGTGGGCTATGTTTCGGCACTATTCGGCAGGAGCACATTTGAGATGTGCCGTCTTATTAATATTAATGTACCGGCAAACTCACTACGAGTGTCGTCATCGTTTGGGTTATCCCAAAGAGCGATTTATAGGTCAGGTTTCCACTGTTGAATATCCTGATGCTTAGATACAGCGCATGAACTTTGGTATGGCATAGTAGATGTTTTACGGCGCTATAGACATGGAAATGACAGTTACGGCGCCAGTGAGAAACGTATTTTGATATATTTGGCCTGTGTTTGTTTCTGGCGTCTTTTATCTTAATATTGTAGATGTTTTACGTAATAGAACATTAAAAAATTTTGGGCGGCACTGCACGACCGTGCTCTATGGACGAACCGCACGGGAGGGTCATAGCCACTTCGATAATTAATAATAATCTAGATCTAGATCCTATTTTTTACTATTGACTATTGGTTATTGGTAAAGATTTTGGGCATTTATAGTCTGCAAATCTCAAACCCAAAACTTACTTTGTTTCTTTTCAGAAATATATACTTTGTCTTTGTTATGAGGCTATTATAATTAATTATAGCGTTAAAACAATGAATAATACATACAGTATGGTGTTCACAAGTGTACCCGACAACTTACTCGAAGAATGATCCGATGAACAAATGGCGGATAAGCAGACATAGCAACGCGGGGATATATATAATATGATATAGAAATCTAGATCTAGACTAGATCTAGATTCTATTTAATCAAGTTTTCTAGGAAAATTTCAGGCAAACAAACGAAACTAAAACTTTCCATACAGGTATTGTACTCACATGATTCCGAAACCAGTGTTTATGGTGACTTGGCTTTCCCAGGAAAGCTGAACCCGACCCAGACATGAAGTTTCTTGATCTGTCCCCTTATCAGGTCTTTAATCACTAATGCTAATTTTAGTAAGAACACGTCATGCTAAATTTTCCACCGATACTATTTTTAGCTAATTTAACTCGAGCTTATTTAAAATTGTTGGTAGCCAATTTTTTCTGGTAAAAAAGTTGCTTGCTTGCACTGAAAAAAGTGGGGGGGGGGCTGTGGGAGGTATTTAAGGAGAAGACCGGAGTTATAAGGTGAAGCTATTTAGTGTGTGGAAACAAGAAAGAGGAAGACGAAAGTTTGTCTCGTCGACACCATACTTTACAAACGAACCAACAAAACTATGGAATGGATCGGAAATTCCCTGAATGAAGACTTGATGAAGACAAAGATAGTGAATAACAAGATGGGCCACTCAGCCAAAAAAGTGTCCGAAGGAAGTATGCTCTTTGCTTCAGATGGCGCTGCAGTCTGTTTTGAAGTAAATTTGAAGCTCTCTTTCGTTTTTCCAGAAGAAGAATAGGAATAACACGTCCTTGCGTGCGCTGATCGACTGCTGTTCATCAGCAGTTCGGGTACGTTCAGTGCGGAGTTTTAGGGTTTTTTATTTTAATGACCTCTCGCCTTTCATTCTAAAGTCAAATTAATCGAAGAAAACCATCACCCTTTTCTCCGGAAGAGGTTTTTTGTCAGCGTAACCATTTTAAAAACGTTTTCTTCCGTAATTTATCCCAAAACTTGCTAGGGTAACTCTGTTCGCAAAAGTGCGCTTTTGTAAAGAGGGCGCCACCAAATTTTGAGGACACTTTTTTAAATGGCTCAAAGAGAGAAGTGGCCCATCTTGTTATGTACTATCATTGATGAAGATGAACAGTCGATACCGTCTTGAAGCTGTTTGTTGTTGTTTTTGTTGGTGGTGGTGGTGGTATTTTAAAAAAAAAGATAGTAGAGCCAAATTAGAGGTTATTTGTCTCTTTTATCGACAAATTTCATAATTTGACAGTTGTTACACACGTTGGCTTCTATTAGACTCTTTGCTTCTATTAGTCTTCAGTGTCTCTGGTGTTATCGTGTTATTTATCATCAGTCGACTACCGGAAGTAATGTTGCCGTTAGCTGTTTACATTGCTGGGTCTCTGCTGCTTTGTGGATTGCACAACTCCTAGACATCTAAAACCGAAAGTAGATAAGGACACTCTTAAGAAGTTGCGCTAATAGTATTATTGGTACTATAACTATTAGTCTGTGTTTTCCAAATTTGGTGAAGCTTTTTAATACTCTCTGGAGATTGTAGACTATGTCTGGTCTTCTGAAATGGTTTAGAACAAGAAGTGTATTGTCTCCGCTTCTCAGCACGTCGGCAAACTGCCACAGAAACAGGCTTCTCGTAGGTTGTCGCATAGATCTACGTAGATCTAGATCTAGATCTAGTAGTAGTAATATAGATCTAGGTAAGTTGCCTACATTGTTATATTATTATTATAAATTGATTTATTATGACAGCTGTGGTATTAGATCTAGAAATCTCGTTACATGGCTCAACCACTTATCCTCCCTAAGCTTGCCTAAGGCCTAAGGTAGGAGCTATAGAATTAAATATTAGTCAAAGTTATTGAATTGTATAGGCCTAGTAGGATCACCTCCTTACTACTCTGGATCTAATCTAAGTAAGCCTACATTGTATTTTCAACTTGATTTGGAATGTATCTGATTAGACTTGGATTCTGGACACCTGTGTGAGTGTGTACAACCGTGTAGTGGAGATGTAATTAGATTCTAGCGTTAAAGTTAAATGTGTATTACCATTATTATATTTATAGTCAGGCCTAGACTACCTATTGTTCAGATTTCATTTTTTAAATTTTAGTTGCTTAAATATTGATGGCATTTGTGACCTTTGATCACTTTGATCACTTTGAACTTACTCAGCATTGCCTAAGGAACTATGTACAGGCCTACTCTACACAAACAAAATCAAGAGAAATTCCAGACGATACATCTTATACATCGCAAGTAGTATGTCTATGAATGGAGGTGCTGGAAATGAAGCTTGTAAATGTGTGCCGAAACTTTTGTTCTGGGTAACTAGGTGCGCAAGCTCTAGTCATGACAAAGATTCTCAGCTCAGCTTGTCTCCATCCTCCCCAGAAAACCTAGTACGAGTGGATGGTAGATCAACTGTGACTATGGCCGCTAATCGGAGGAATGAGGAAAGTCCCTGTTGTGACTTCATGGTAAGGATCACTGGTTTCTTGGTGGCACTACTGTCAGGCCTGCCTTTTTTGTATCTAACACTGTGAGATTTGTACATCAATTGCAATCAATCTCATTCTGTTATCTTGTAAAACATTTTGTTCAGTTTTAATCTTAATTTAGATAAATTAGAGTTATTAAACTTTAATTTTGGTAGTATTGAATGGAACTGATTGAATTAACTTAATTTTTAGGTCATAATTTGTCATAAATAATTTTTACTTTACTTAATTGTTCCCTTTTGCCATCTTTATGATGAAAGTAATCAAGGACACATATATATATCCTTTTTTTGTGGCCAGCTGCAACCTTTTGGTGAGAATGTTGTATCAGTAGAAACAAAAGCTAAAGAAGTTGGAGAATTGTTTCTTTGGTTTTTCCAGTTATTGTGAGAAACTTGGTGACAAGATATTTCTCCATTTTACAGACTTTCCACTTTCTCTTTCCTTTGTGCAGATTGTTGGTCTTGGCAACTATTGTTGGCCCAACACACGGCACAGTGTGGGGATGGCTGCCGTTGACCGTCTGGCCTCCTATCTGTGTGGACAATGGGATCCTGGGACTGGAACATACGGAGGGTCAGTTTGTCAGGCTGTGGTAAGGAAAGATGATGCCGTGGTGGTCAGACTGCTGCTGTTCAAACCTAAGGCGTTGATGAACGTCAATGGGAGAAGTGTGGCTAGAACAGGTGAGAGGGTGAGGGAGAGAGATGGAGGTCGGGAGGGAGAGCAGAGGAAAGGATTGAGAGACGTGCTGGTTTAGTTGAAGGTCTACTCCACTGAAACGGTCTACCGTAAGTCCCACCCGATTGACCCCGGTCTACTGCGTAGCGTAGGTCCCTTTTGATTGGCCATAGCAACAGTGCTGGGGGGCGTTTAGACCAAAGATGGTGGAGTTACACTATTGTGGTGTATGAATATCTGAATTGCTCCATATTGCGTTGTTTACACAAACAAATTTTGCGGTGGTGAAGATCATGAATAATAAGTAAGTTGCAATAACAACTGACCAGACAGGACTATTTTCAAGAAATCAGAGGGGGGGGGGGGGGGGCAGTTCCCTGATCTCCTCTCCCGCCCCCCCAAAAAAAAACAACTTCAACCACCAAAACATATCATATCTGTTAATATGCCAATAACAGTCTCAAGCCTGTATATGCGAAGGGAAAATGTAAACTAATTCTTGTGACAAGTCCTTTGTCTTTGTCTTTCTTGTCTTTGTAAAGTGTTTTACGGCGCTCGCAACTGCATAAGGTCATATGAGCGCGCGGGACACACCTAATATTTTCAGTTGGTAGGAAATTTTGAATTTTGCCCGGGTGGCGGCCGAAGCCTACTCTTATCGATTTTAGACCATCAAGGGATCTTTAACGTGCGCAGCTTGCACACAGGCTCTCCGAGATTTTTCGCCCTTGTCCGAGAAGGCTAGGTGGTGTAGATCTTTCCTACCAGAAGATCAGGGGTGTGGCTGAAAGACAGCAGTAAGAAGAAGCGAAGGAGTAACAGTAGAAAGGCTGCAGAAAGAATCAGGAGCCCAGAGGAAGGGGCAAAGGAGGTGGGGACAGAAAGAGGAGATGAAAGCAGAAGACAGAACATTGCTAGAGAGCAGGAAATGAGGTGAAAGGAGACAAATTTAGAGAAGAAAATTTTTCGGTCGCTACCCGGATTCGAACCCGGGACCTTTGGAATGAGAGGCCAACACCTTAACCTCTAGGCCACGAGAGCCCCCTGTGACAAGTCCAAAGCCTGTATAAGTATAAGCTGGTAAACCTTCAATTAAACCAGGTGTCAGACCGGTCTGGTGGTAGCCCTTCAACTAATCCAAAAACATCACGGTAACCTTCAACTAAACTGGCACCGACGTTTGAGTGTGTTTGAGGGTAGGAACAAATTCTGTTGTGTAACTAACCTGATCTGATTTGAAAAGACCGCAAAGTTGAATGTCCCTCCTCATGGACAACTGTCTCTTCTGTGTTGTAAGGAGCCTTACCCCTCGGTGACCAGCCATCCTGTGGCTGATGTCGGGCCATTTGTGGAAAAAAGCTCACCAATTACTTATATTGGAATATTGTTAGTTCTTATCTAACTTTCATGTGTCTAGCACAGCGAACAATGAATGTGTTAACTGGTGTGTACTGAATTTTTGGAGATTATGCAGACAAATTTGCTGAAAAGCAGTTGTCAAGGGGAGTGTGTAGCTATGTGGACTGCAAAATATTTAAGATGTAGATTATGAGCTGTCCCTATTTTTTGTTCATAGGCGTAGATGATGAACTGACCATATATGCACTGTACATAAGATATAGATCGGGAACTGTCAGTGTGTAGTGTACTGTACGTAAGACATATTTTGAACTGTATGTACTGTGCAGAAGACTTAGATTGTGAACACACTTTCTCTGAGTTTCTGCTTCTTCTCCCCCAGCGCGAACATTGGGCGTCGCCCCTGATAGGATATACTTGGTACATGATGAGCTGGATAGAGCTCCAGGGAAATTTCACCTCAAGGAAAACGGCAGTGCAGGGTAAGACCACTTGACCTGTGTGTTCAAACCTGTCGTGACCTTCACCTTCCTCACACACATCAAAGTGATATCTGTTGTGTTACAAATAGGCTATTTGCTGTTGCATGTAGATGATGTGATTGTGACTCTCATGTGGAGAAGTTATTTTATCGAGTGACACTGTTTGTCTGCCGAGATGTATGACTACCAGGCTGGACTGGCCCTGATATTAGTTCGAAGCAGCCTGCTTCTAGAATAATTTGGATTATGTCAATGGAGGTACAAAACGGTAACAATTAACAGAACATCCATTTTAAATCGAGAAAGAAGGAGCATGCATGTGTTCTTTCAGACTCACTTTTATGCACAAGAAATTATCCCAAAGATTATTGTAGTTTTGGGGGGGGG